GTTTGCGCCGGGGTGGGGGGCGGGGGCTAGGGAGCAGAGGAAAACTTCACCCTCGATGGCGGACTTTACAAGCCGGAAATACGAGGTTGGGTTTTGATTTTTATTTAAAACAGCTTTTCTGGGGTTGCAGGGTGAACTGTAGATAAGCTCTCCTGCAGGGTCTGCGTTCTGAGAGGTGGAGGTGCCTCTTTGCAAAATAGGAGACTGCCTTTGCCTCCTGGAATATATAAATAACCTTTTCTACCAGAAAGAGGTGTGTGTGGAAATTGAAGGAGCTGGCTAGCCTAAGTCCCCGGAGAAATACTTACTTTTTATTCCTCCTGGCAATCCTGCTTTGTGTATGGCCCAGTCTTGTTGCTTTTAGTCTGTTTTCTAAGCTGAAGCCGGAGGGAGAGTGTGAAAAATAATTGGTTCATTAAATCAGTAGTGATGGGTTATGTCTGCAGTACCACACTGAGGAGGTGGAGAGATAAGATTCAGGAGTTCTGGGTCATTCTTGGCTCTTTAACAAGTTCAAGGCCAGCTGCTGTAAATGCTTACACCTGTAATTTATTCCCAGTATTTGGGAGACTAAGGCAGAAAGAACTGTCCATAGAACAAGACCCTCCCTCAAAACACCAAACCAGATAAACAAAAACAATGTTTAAAAATAATCCACAAATCTGTGTTTAGAATTGTCTCATTCCCCATTCTTTGTCCTATGGGACTCAAGAGTTTTCAACAGGACCTTCTTTCTCTAGCTGCTTTGTGACTCTGTTTACTGTCCCTAACTCAGAGTTTTCAACAGGACCTTTCTCTAGCTGCTTTGTGACTGTTTACTGTCCCTAAGTGGTCCTTTAAGCCTTGGCTCAGCCATCCCCTGCTCAGGGATGGGGCTCCTCAGAGTCTGGCATCCCTTCACCATCTCTTCTTGGGTGACACCTGAATGCTGCCATGTGCCCTTACACCTTCCACTAGTGTCCCGTCCCCCCCTCCCCCCCCTCCCCTACTGTTGTGATCGAGTAAGCTGTTAGGCCCAGCCTGGGTTCAGGGGGAATTGGCTTTCTTTGTCCTACTGAGTGTTAGGGTGAGGATTTGGTTTGTGCCCCATATCTGGCAGCTGTGGGACCATGCACCATGGGGGCCACTATTACTGATTAAGCTCACCTGCTCTGCATTGTGGCTTTGAGTTACTGGATGCTGCACAGTCCCTGTCTAAACTGAGGCAGGGGACTAGTGGGTCTGGGAGAGGGTGGGAGAGTCAGGCTGGGAGGGGAGGAAAACTGGAGAGGGTGGAGCAGAATGTTGGGAGGAGGAATTCAGGGCTAGGTTTGGTGGAGAACAGGGTCCACTTAGCCTTGGAATTTCAAGTGGCCTCTGTCTGGTGGATGGGTATTCCTGGGGGAGTTCCTGGAGGGACTGTTTTTGGTTCCTGGTGCTTCCAGCTTCCCAGAACTTGAGGAAAAGAGACCCGGGAAGGCTGTTTGCTCTTCTGTTTCATGGCCCCGCCCCTGGAATCCCTCCCTTTTTCTCGCACAGAATTCACTCTTCCCAGAACAATGGAGCAGCGTGTGGCTAGCCAGCAGGGCTGACAACGAGGAGCCTGAGGCTCCTTCTCTACTCCTGTGCCCTCCCAGATCCCTGTGTCCAGTTCAGCTGGTCAGCCCTTCTCTGTCCTCGGCTTTGGGCTCTTTTCTGTTAAACTTCAGCCTGGTGCGGTGGGGGTGAAGATGAACCTTGCAATCTCCTGGAGCCCTGGCCCTGTGCAGTTTGCATGTGCTGGGTGAATGCTTCTGTCCATGTGTGTCCCCTCCCCCAGAGGGCCTGGCTCTTGGGAGCTGGGTTGTTTAGTGGCAGCTGTCTTTTTGGGAGCCCCCTAGAAAGTTAGTCTCTGGGGCTGGGGGAGCAGCTCAGTGCTAGCATACACCTAGTTTCCCAGCACCAGAAAGACAACCAATGGACTATCCCGAACTAACTGACCAAGCAGAGCCATGTTAACTCCGCCCACATCTGCGGAGCTGGAGTTTGCTTTTGGACATTGGCCAGAGATTCCTGGGGGGCACTGACGTGTGAGAAGCCCCAGCTGCTGAATCTATGGTCAGTTTTCCCATGGGGCAGGGAGATAAAGTGAGGCTAGCAGAAAGGGGAGACATCAGATAAAGCCTGGCTTCCCCCTCCATGGCAGGGTCTCTGAAGTTCTAGTGGCTTGCCCTGTCCCTTTGCCTGAGTGACCTGAGTGAGTGGCCAGGCTCTGGGCTGGACCCAGTGCAGGGTCCAGCAGTAGCCTTCCCTGGCTGCAAACCCACACAAGATTCTAGAAACCCCAGTGTACAGAACAGGCTTCACCCAAGGATGAAGCCTCCAGCTTAATAAGCTCTTTTTGTTCCTTGACTCCCCATTTTCCTGCCTTTGAGGAGAGCCATAAATCACACTCTCTCTCACTAAAGTGGAATTGGGCTCAGCACTTGGCTGCCTAGCTCAGAGGGTTTTCCCAGCTGGGTGTGATGCCGCACAACGTGCCTATAATTCTAGTACCAGTGAGGCTGAGGTAGGAGGATTGTCATGAGTTTGAGGATGACTTGGGCTACGAAGTGTAAGACCTCATCCCCCTAAAAATCTGAAAAGGGACTGGAGGTACATGTTGGACACTGGGGGTTTTTAAGGCCAAGAGCACAGAAGGTGCAGGGCCTGGCAACTGAGTATAGGGCCTAGATTTTGGGATGGACTATAGAGAGGCTGAGGAGGCCAGCTTGGTGTCCATTTGTGCTCCCAGAATCTTCCAGGACTTGCTATAAGGTCTATGGAAAATTTCCCATTTATTTTCAGCTAGAGGCCCCCTTTGACACATTTCTTAGGTTAAGAGGCTGACTCCCTTTCCCTGATGGACAGTCAGGGTGGGTGTGGCATCCTACCACTAGCCCCTGGGCTGGGCTTGTCTGGCAGAGGGCTTTGAGTCTTCTCCTGCCAGGTGTTGTCCCCACCTCCACCAAGGGTTAGACGGCTCTGGCCTTCTGCTGGCATCTGAGGGTGGTGCTGGCTGAGATGCCCACAGAGCTGAGGATGTGGTTCAGTTGGTAGTGTGCTTGTCTAGGATTCAGGAGGCACTGGACTGCATCTAGGTGGGCTACATGAGACTTTGTCTCACAAAGAAAACAGAGGGTCCCAGGTGTTAGGCGCCATTCACCCATCCAGTTGTTGTGCACACAGATGTGCCTTCACTCCCCACATATATACAGCCACTTGGGTATATGCTTATAGGCACATGTGTGTTCATGTTCATAAACACACCCCATATACACATATGTGTACACATTGTACATTACATAGTCATGCACAGATAAACACATGTGTGCACTTAGTTTGGCAGTCATGACAACATCTTGCTCATTTCGTCAGAATGTGTCTCAGGCAGAGGCTCACCAGGGTCTAGCCCAGAGCCCCCACAGGCAAGAGCTTCAGACCCACCTCCATCTCGAAGTGTGGGCCACACCTTTTCCAGGGCCACACTTGTTATTGCCAAGAGAGCAGAAAGACAACCCAAGCTAGGGATGGCAGTGGAAGCTGGGGCTGTTTGAGCTACATGCTACAGACGGCTGCTGTAGGCTGTGCCTCGGTGTGTGTGCAGGGCCAGAGAAGCCTCCTGGATACCCCTACCCCACCCCAGCTGGACTTTATCCCCTTCCTGGGCCAGCTGGGTGGGCTGGCTCTGACTAGCCCAGCTTCTTTGCAGGCTCCTGAATGGCTAGTTTGGGTAGTAGAATACCCTTGTGGGTCCCCAGGGTGCTCTCCCAGCTCCCACCCTTACCTCAGACTTATTTCTGTGTTTCTGTTTCTTCCACAGAGAGTGTGGCACTTAGAACACACCAAGGGTGCCCAAGACCCTAGCCTGTGCCAGGCCCTGGGCTGGGATATTGAGGGACCCTTAGTGTTGCCCGTAGTGCGGTGTCCACTGAAGGTCGTGGGCTCCCAAGGCCTTTCCAGGGAAGAAGCTGGATCTGAGGTGTGAGGGGACTTGAGTGGAGAGTGAGGAAGGCTCCCCTTTGGGTCTTTATTCATCAGCCTGGAGAAGTGGGTGTGATAAGGGTGTCTGAGCACACAGGCAAAGCCGGGAAGACACGATGATGACAGCCATGGTGATGCAATTTGCTTCCTGGTCTGGCCTTGCCCTCTGAACTGTACTTCCTGCTCCTGCCCCACTCCCACACCTCCCTGGCCTGGAACTACAGCAGGCCCTCCCCACTCCCTGCTGTCTGTACCCAGAGCAGCCTCCCACTTTGTTTTCTTGAGATGGTCTCTGTAGCCTAGGCTAGCCCAGATCTCTCAGTTTCTAGCCTAGGCCGGTCCAGAGGATCCTTTTGCCTTAGCCTCCACAGTGCTCGTGTTACAGGGAAAGCACCAGCACCCCTAGCTTCTCCCACTGGTTTTCAGATGTCTGACTGCTTTTTGTATTCCAGGACCATCTTACACTCTCACCCGTTACTTTTACTGCTTTTGCTAGCAAGCCTTTTGTCAGTTTGTGATCTTACCACCTCCTCTGGTTCCAGGTTCTGACCAGCGTCTCCTGTATCAGGTATTGGATGCATGTGTTGAGTGACTTTGACTTTGTGATTGCAGTTTACAGCAATGCTTGCAGCCTGCACCTGTTACCTGCTCGTTCTGGGCAGAGTTGTACCCTCAGTGCTTATATGTGTTACTTCATTTCAATGTTATGATTTGTGTGAAGCTGGAACAATTCCCATTTCTCAGATACAAAAACTGAGGCCCTGAGAGGCTGAGTCAGCAATGATCACTCAGTTGACAAGTGGGAAGATTTGAACTCTAGTGTCCTTGACTGGGGTAGGGGAGCGGAGAAGAGAGGCAGGGAGAAGGGCAGCTTTCACGGTGCTGATGTCATCAGGTCCCCATGGTTGTCCCCCTCTGCTGTTCTGGGAGATCTGGGTGGGGCCCCCTCACCCTCTCTGGGCCAGCCTTCTTCGCAGAATTCCTGGTATTGGAACATTCTAGCACTCTATGACCTGTGCTGGAGACCTGACCAGCAGGCCAGCAGCCAGGACCTCTTCAAGGTGGGGGCTTCTCTGAACTTGTGGTCCTGCCTGGCTGGGGCCACAGCCAAGAAGAGGTCAGTAGGTAGCAGTGTCACTTCTCTGGAAGGCTGGCCAGTAACATCTTTCCAGCCAGGCAGGACTGAGTCCCCAGAGAGGGGCAGGGCATATGGAGAAGTCTGAGTCTTTGGGGAAAGAGGCACCCTTGCCTTGCATACCTCCCTCCTTGGAACCTGAGGACTCCAAGATGGAGGGTTAGAGGTGAAGCAAGAGGGCATTCTGCTGGGTACTGCCGGTGAAAACTCAGCCCTGGGGCCGTGAAGTTATTATAAATGGGAAAAGTCTGACCATGAACTTGGGGCCTAGGGTACCAAGAGCTGAGGAGGCTGGGGATACAGCTCAGCTGGTAGATAGAGTGCTTGCCTAGAGTGCACAGAGGCCTGGGTTCGATCCACAGAACCACATTAATTGGATGTGGTAATACAAGACTGTAATCCTAGCACTTGGAGGTTGAGGCCTGTGTGGGCTGTAGGAGACCCCAAAACAAAAAACAAAAACAAAACCAAAAAAAAAAAAAAAAAAAAAAAAAAAAAAAAATCAAACTGTAGCTGGGCTGCTTAGAAGACCGCTCCTTTGTATTTGACAGACCAATCACAGGGCCACACATACCCGCTCAGGCCTGTTCTGTCCTGTTGGCTCCCTTAGTCCTGCTGGAGTGTTTGGCATTGCTGTCACCATCTCCATCCCTGAGCAGATGTCAAGGGACACCCTTGAGTTTGACTCCAAGTCTAGAAAGGAGAAAGGACTTAACTAAGGGTAGCAGTTGTTGACCTTGAGCCAAGGTCTTGTCCTGTTCTGGGGCCACTTGAGTGTATAATAGCTGTGCTGCCCGTCGTCTTCTTTTAATATTTATTTACTGTATATGAGTGACCTGTGTTCATGCACACCAGAAAAGAGAGTCAGATCCCATTACAGATGGTTGTGAGCCATCATGTGGTTGCCAAGAATTGAACTTGGGACCTCTGGAAGAGCAGCCAGTTCCCTTAACCACTGAGCCATTTCTTCAGCCCCCCCCCAATACCTTTTAATGTTGGTCTCGATGTAGTCCATACTGCTTTGAACTCACAGCAGTCCCTTTGCCTCACTCCATTCCCCATCCCTGCATGTGGGTTGGCCTACAGGATCCACTGCCTTCAACTTCTGCCTGAATTCTATACCTCTGAGAGAACTGGATCTCACAGTAGGGAGTAGTATCTGGGGCTAGGTATGTGTTTGCTCTGAGTGTCCCTCCTCTGGGGACTTTTTTTTTTTTAAACTGGTAACTCACCTGACCATGAGCTCCTATCTCCAAGGACCCATGCTAGTCTGTGAACTACCCTAGGTGTGTTCTGCAGTCTCCTGAGGGAGAGTATTTGCAAGGTAGGGGGCAGAGTAGAAAGGGAACCTGTGCTTTTGGCATTGAAGTTCTGCTGATGGCACACTGCCTCCTCTCATAGTATTTACTGAGTGTCCTGAGCATGGTAAGGTCTGTGTTGGGGACATAGCCAGGTTACCTGGAATATACCCAACCCACCCAGTATATGTGTGTATGTGTATGACCAGAGAATAACATCCACTGTTATTTTTCCAGGTGTTTTTTGAGACAAAGTCTCTCATTGGGACCTGGGGCTCCCTGATTAGGGCTACGCTAGCTGGCCAACCAGTCCTAGGGATCCACCTGCCTCTACCTTTTCAGTGCTGGGATTACAAGTGTACACCACAATCTTAACCTTTTAAAAGATTTATTAGCTGGGCCATAGTGGGACATGCCTTTAGTCCCAGCAGTTGGGAGGCAGAAGCAGGTGGTAGTTTGAGGCCAGCCTGGTCTAGAGTGAGTTCCAGGACAGCCAAGACTACACAGAAAAACCTTATTTTGACAAACAAAAACAAAAAACCAAAAAGATTTGTTTAACTATGTATATATGTGGTATTGGTGTCGGGTTTGTGCATGTGACTGTAGATGCAGCTAGAAAGGGCATCAGAACCCCCTGGAGCTGGAATTACAGGTGGTTGTGAACTGTCCGACTTGGAACTGAACTCAGGTCCTCTTCAAGAGCAGTAAGCATGCTTGACAGCTGAGCCATCTCTCCAGCTCCATACCAAGCTTTTCAATTCTACATGGATTGTGGGGATCAAACCTGGGTTCTCCTACTTGTGTGTGAAGTATGTCACTGACTTGAGCAAGCTATCAGCCTAGCACATGACCTGGCATTTTCTTTAACAGTGGAGAAGGAGGGAGGCCTGTAGTTGCTATGGGAGCCTAGTGTTGGCACCCGAGCCGACACCTGAGCCAAGGTGTGACTACAGACAAGGTGACCTAGAGTGAGCATCGGGGAGCAGCTGGGCCCCGTCTAGACCTGAGGCAGGGCCCTGAAAGCCCCTTTCTCTCTATAGGTCAGCTATGTCATCTGAACCTCCCCCGACACCGCCACAGCCCCCAACGCATCAGACTTCTGTTGGGCTATTGGACACTCCTCGGCCCCGGGATCGTTCTCCATCCCCGCTTCGAGGCAATGTGGTCCCTAGCCCTCTGCCCACACGCAGGACAAGGACCTTCTCAGCGTAAGTCTCAGGCTGGCCACACATACTTCCCATAATGGGGGCAGCTACCAGAGGGGGCAGGATTCATTCTCTGGGCATCTCCTAGAGAGTTCTGGAGAAGTACTTGTAAGGAAACTCGAAGGTGTCTTCAAACTCAGGTGCTATCCTTACCACCCATGGGAACCTGCTCCCCCCCCCCCCCCCCCCAGTAATAAGCTACTGGGCTTTAGCCACAGAGGCCTCTTCCCCAGGGGGCCTTGACTTTCTCAGTTGTATGGTGGGGACAGTGTCTGAGAGTAGCCACTAGCAGATGTAGACTTTAGGCCCTGTGAGGGATACTAGAGCTGTTACCTACAGTTTTTGAAGGGATGCTCCCAACTATCTCAGCTCCCTGTTTCTAGATGGAAAAACAGGCCTGAGAAAATGTGCCAAGGTTATCCAGTCATTTCTACAGGTAGGGTTGCACACAAAGCTTATGTGACTATACTTGGTGGCCCTAGCAAGGCCTCCCTGTGGCAAAGCTGGGTGAGTATCTCCAGGGGAGTTGGTGGCTGTGTAAAGGACTGGTGGGTGACCCCTCACATCTCCCTATCTGCCAGGACGGTGCGGGCTTCACAGGGCCCTGTCTACAAAGGAGTCTGTAAATGCTTCTGCCGGTCCAAGGGCCACGGCTTCATCACCCCGGCTGATGGTGGCCCTGACATCTTCCTGCACATCTCTGAGTGAGTTCACTGTAGCATATCTGCAGGGCTGGGCTGGGGATAGAGGGGTTGTGCTCCTGGCTTCATGCTGTATAGGACAGTGATGGAAAGGTGCTGGCCTGGAAGATGCAGTGTGTGACAGTGACCGGGCGTGTCTATGAATCGTGTAAGAGCTTGGGTGTCTGTCTGTCTACCATAGTGCTGGGTTAGGGTGAAGTCAGCTGGGCCTGATATGTGTAAGTGGGTGGTGTCTATGGTGGGTCTCAATGTCCTGTGCATGGCCTGTGTCCCTGGGATGGGAGAATGTGTTGTCCTCCTCAGGGGAGTGACCCGGTGAGGCTGGGGGCTATTCTGCTCCAGGAAGGAAGCTCAGGGCTGGGCCCTTTCTCCAGCCACTTGCTCACTGAGGCTCTTCCTTCCTGTCTGGAAGCCTGTAGGACACCAGGGTGTAGGCCACAACCCCCACCCCCCCCAGCAGCACCTTCCCTGTTTGGCTCCTGAATAGCTTTTGGGTTTACTAAGAACCCCAACTAGAACCTCTATCCAGACTTTCTTCTTTGGCCCAAGCATCCTGCCCACCCTGATTTCATTTTGGCTGAACTATGGACTGAGTCTGAAGCTTGGGGCACATGCTAGGCAAGTGATCTACGAGTGGCTGACACCCTGGCCACACATTCAGTCTCATTCAGCCAATGGGAGGCAAAGGCTTTTTCCCAGAAGCCTCAACTAAATCTGAAACCAGTTTGACAAAAAGGATTGTTTTCATCCTTCTGCTGTGATAGAAGTTGTAGCTGTTTTTCCATGGGTGTTAGGGATCTGAACTCAGGTACTCAAGCTTGCTAAGTAGGCACTTTCTAGACTGAGCCATCGTGTCAGTCCTGATGACTGCTCTTTCTCTCCTGCAGTGTGGAAGGGGAATATGTTCCAGTGGAAGGCGACGAGGTCACCTATAAGATGTGCTCTATCCCGCCTAAGAATGAGAAACTGCAGGCTGTAGAAGTGGTCATCACTCACCTGGCACCAGGCACCAAGCATGAGACCTGGTCCGGGCATGTCATCAGTTCCTAGGGACCTGCAAGAAACCCCCTTCTCCTGGGCTTGAGGGAGACTATGGGGGGAGGAGGAGCAGGACACCCTGGATATAACATTCTACCACACAAGATGGGGCCTCAAGGTGGGCATGGCCCCTTTCAAGCATTTCCTGGGAGAAGGGAGTTGTGGGCAGGCAGGGGGTGCTCTCAGCCACCAGCACAGCCTCTAGCCATTGCAACAAGCTCTCACTGTCTGAAAACATTAAAAGCATTTGAAAAGGAGAGGGACCTGCGGTGGCTGAGTGGAGAGGGTGCAGTCCTAGTCCAGGATGGGTGGGCAGGCCAAATATGCTATTTCCCCAAATGCCCCACCCAGGTCAACCAAGCCCATAAGGACTCCTCCTGGAACTGAAGACAACACCGCCCCCTCCCCCCAATCTATTTGGCACCTTGAGGGATGTCACCACGGGCCCTATGAGACTTTCCATGACCCAGTGCCCTGTTTAACTTGGGACCAGGTCAGACACATTTTCTGCTTGTCAGCCTGGCTAGTTCCAGGGAAGCTGGCTTAAGTATGTAGGGAGCTTTCCAGGGGACTTTGCTTCTTGGTGCCTTTGCAACAAGAATGTCTCTGTCTTGTGGAAAAGACTCCATCCCTTAGGAGCTCCTGGTCTAGCACAGCAGTCTGGGGCACTGACCCCACCCCTGGAAATGCTGGTCTTTTCTACTTCCAGGTATAAGTACCCTCCCTGTGGCATTAAGCCTATCATTAGAGCTGTGGGGGTTAGGAAGAGTCCTCCATAGGGAGAGCTACAGAGGGGAAGGTGATGCTTTACTTAAAAACAGAACCAGGCTGGTGGTGCATGCCTTGTAATCTCAGCACTTGGGAGGTTGAACTAGAGTTCTGGGCCAGCCTAGGCTATGATCATGTCTCAAAACAAAAACAAGGGCTGGGGATGAACTCAGTGGTAGTGCACTTGCCCAGCACTGTTAGGGTAAACCCCGGAACTTTGACTCTGATGGCATTGTAGGGTTAGGAGTTGGAGAAATACACATTTGATGGGGAAGCAAGACTTCTTTAAGAAAGCTCTGACAGATGCCTAAAGCATATTTCCCCTCTTCCTCAGTACTGGGGGTGGGTGGGTGGGGGATGGGGAGCCCAGGGCCTTGGAAAAGCCTCTGCCTGCCAGGTTTTGTTTTTGTTTTGAGACAAGGTCTTGCTATATAGCCTAGGTTGGCTCCAAACTCTTACTTCCTAGGGTCACAGGCGTGCCTTCATTTGGTTTATTAAAAGCTCAGACTCTCCCTCACAGCCCTCTGTTTGCCCCGTCTGCAGCACTGTAGATTTGTAGGTGTTTCAAACGAACTGCTCCTTAGATTTGCTTTTGGTGGTTGGCTTTGACTTTAGTTGTGACTTAAAAATAGAAGTAGTTGGTTAATGGGTTTTTGAAATCAAGTTGAGATCTCTTGTCAGAATCAAGGTACCAATACTGCAGGTGTGACTAAGGCTCCATTGGTCCAGACCAGAGGTTTCTTTTATATGGAGAACTCTGTTGACCTCAGTGTGTCTTAATTCTGGATGAGTGTGTGTGTCCATCCTAAGGTGACAAAGACTGGACCATCAGGAACACAGCTCAGAGGGTAAAGCATCTGGAGGATTCGAGTTCAATCCCAGAAAAAGCGACATGAGGTGTGCATACTTACATAGTTCAGAATTGGAGAGGCTAGGCCAGGCAGATGCCTGAGGTTTGCAGGCTAGCCAGCTTAGTCTATTTAGTGAGTTGGAGGTCAGTGAGAGACCCCATTATTTTTAAGAGGTGGTTATCACCCCAGGACAAAAAACAGGTTGTCCTCATGCATCTGTACAGAAAGAAGTGGCTAAATGTGTTATGGTCTTGTGCAGTTGGCTCACCTCCACCACCCAGTTTGACAATTTTCTTTGTTATTGGGCTACTAGCAGATGTTTTTCTACTAGGTCAAAGGTGGCTTTTACCCCTTCAGGCTTGGCTAACTGCCCAGAGCCTCTCTTGGGGCCTCTCAGTTGGCTAAGGAACAAACTTCCAAAGCCACTTTGCCAGGACTCAAGAAGGCTCCCTGAGATTGACAGCCTTCTCTATCACCCATTGTCCCTGGCTATCAGTACAGCTTTTCTTTCCCTCTGGTATGGTTAGGCGTTGGGTGACACATGGTTGGCCTGCTAGTGGGCCCTGCCTGACACTGAGCTGGCAGCCCAATTCTCCTGGCAGAATGGTCTCTGGATTCTTTTGCTCCACAAAATCCTTTGTAAAGAGCTTTTACTGTATGGCCACATCACTTCAGCCTCTAAACTATTCTGGAACTGCAGGTTATTGGTATTGGAAAAGACCTCCCTCTCCTCTGATGTGGAGTTCATTGTCAATTTATAGATCCAAGAGGGACCCAGTGCTAGTGATTGGTCAGGGAACAGATTCCCAAATCTAGACATTTGGCCCCACTAGCCAACTCCTTCACAATAAAACTTGTTTTGTGCAACAAGATGAGGCTGTGTGTGCATACTTGAGCGTGTGTGAATGTGTAAGGGAATTGGGGCTTGTTTATGCAGTGGGTTGTAGGTATATGCCCAGTGGTGGCATTTGGGATGTCATGTAAATGTGAGAAAGGTCTTGGGGTTTCTGTTGAGATGTTTAAAGGGAGCCTTGAGGCTACCCAGGGACCATGTGGAGAACCAGAGATGGAGATGGGCTGCCCCTCATATAGGTCCAGAAGGACAACAGTGAAGCCACCTGCCTTGGAGGGTGGGGGAGGAGAAGCTGATAGGGTAATGACAGACCAGGGTGGGGTGGTTTTACGAAAGGATGGGAACTGATGTATGGAACCAAGATGGGAATTTTGATGAATCAATCGGTGATTCTCCCAGTGGTTGGAGAAATAATCAAGCCTGTTCAGGGAGAGGCCAAACAAGATGAGGTGACTACACTCAACCAGCCTGGTTTCTCCAAATTGACGGGTGTGCCGTGGTAGGTGTACCTAGTCCAGGGTAAGGAAGAGATTAAGTGCTGCATGTATCTAGACTGTGCTGAGGAATGAACATATTTGAATTTACTTCAGTGTCTGTCTCCCCACCCAGACACGGTTGGGAACACCTTCTAGGGTCACACATTACTCCTACATAGGAGCTAAACATTTTGGTAAACTTCCTCTTAGCCCAGGGTTTCTCAAGTCTTCCTAAAACTTGGTGACCTTGAGTTCTTGACAGGCAGCTCATGCAGAAGTGAACTTTTCTGAGAGCTCTAGTATGCTTAGGTGCAGCCTCTGCTTCTTGTGATGCTGTCTACCCAACTCCTGCTTTCCCAAAGTCCTCTGCAATTCCTACTTGGTAGCTCTGCACTTGACAGATAAGAAACTGAGGTCAGGGCTTGCCTTGAGCTACAGTTGTCTAGCAGAACTAGTCCTTCATTCTGGGCAGCCACTCATCACACTGCAGGCCCTGCTCCACCAGCAAGGCCACGTGTCACTTGCCAATATCATTTTACAGCCATGAGATGCCTGGAAAGCAGAGGCCCTGTATTAGGTGGGAAGACTGATGACAGTGGGGAGTGTGACAGCCACTATAGGAATTGACAAAGCCTGGAGTCCACCTGGCAGCTTTGGGTCTCCATCTGAGGGCAGCATGGGACCTGCAGGCAAAACATGGCCTCTGACCAGCTGGGACCTTCAGCAGCCATGACAGCTAGGGCTCTAGTGTCACTAGAGCAGAGCAGAGCAGAAGAGGCTTTCAGGACCCAAGAGGGAACTTTCTGAGGAACCCCTCTGATACCCAGGGTTAAAGTGACCAGAACAAGAGGCCAGGAAGATGCAGTCCCTTTAATGCGTGTCCCTGGGCAAGTTATCACAGCATTGCTGTAAAATCCAAACATGATGCCTCCAGGTGGAGGTCCTGGCATTGTCCTGTGGGGGTGGACAGAGGTGAAGGGGTCAGCAGCAGGTGCCAGTGCGGGCAGCCAAGGGTAGGGCAGTGAGAACACATGGTGGTTGGAGGCAGGAAAGGGCAGCAGGGGCTCCCGACAAGCCTGGCTGCAGAACTGTTTACTAAGTACTGGAAAGTGGCCTGGGGACCATAGAAGGCTCTCCCTGAGGTTTTGGATGTGGCCTGTGCACTCTCCAGGAAGAGGCTGAAGTAGTGGTAGCTCCTACGGCTGTGGCCATCTGGCACTTGGGTCAGGCAGCTTGGGGATAAGGACTGCAGACAGGGCTTTGCTTTGCTGGGTCCTCTATCCCCACTTCCTGCTGGTGACAGGAGAGCAGTCCTGTTGTAAAATCTAAATAGAGCCAGCCAGGTCTGTAGAGGTACAAACTGTGATCAGTTATCACTTGGCCAGCTATCTGTCAGGGAGACCAAGCTGTGATCTGTGGCTCATAGACAGGAAGCTGGCTTGAAAATAGAATCATCAGCCCTTTGGCACAACACTGGCCTTAGTTCATGCCCCAGCCTCCACTGCAGACTGGGAATTCATCACAGAAGTCTTCAGTTCTGTCCCAGGTGGACAACTGTGGATGCCCACAGTTTTTTTCATCATCGGGTCCCCTTTTTGATGGTGAGATGGGTCTGCACACTAAATTGTCAAGTCTCTCTGAAACCTGGTGTGTTGGTGCATGTATTCTGCATATGTAAGGCATAGGCAGAAAGACAAAGCTCAAGGTCAGACTGGTCCAGGGCTACACAGTGAGACCATGTCTCCAAATAGAACCCTCCCCCAATCCACCACTGCCAGAAAACCTTCCACAAAGTGGAAGGGGCCCAGGCATACTTTTTTTTTTTTTTTTTTCTGTTATCATCACATGAGCCATGTATCCTATCAGCTAACTCTTAGACCATGGGCTAGGGGAAGGGAATGGTGGAACACTTCTGTTTCTGAGGTACCTAAATCATAGGCTGGGATCCTATCGAGGGCCTCGTCCATGCTAGGCAAGTGTTCTTTGGGTAATATCCCCAACCCCAGAGCCACCATTCTGTTTGAGACAGGGTCTCATTCTGTACCTCAGGCTGCCTCCGACTGGTGGTAATGTTCCTGCCTCAGCTTCCTGAGTACAGATTTCAGGCATTAGCCACCACACCCAGCCACAGCCATTTCTGATTAAGTTCTTTCTTTTCCCTTGGGGCTGCTGGTGGTGCTAGATGGAGGCGGAGGCATGGCCTATTGGCATGCCCAGTGAGGTGACCTGTAGTCCTTGTGTGTTTAGACCCATGAGGACAGCCTGGCTGGAGGCTAGGGGCATATGCACATGAGGAGGACTCCAGCTCTGGCCCTAAGTGACCCCTGACCCCGAGGGACCTTTCAGTCTTGTTGGCCAGGACCCCATTCCTCTGATGTTAAGGGAAGAGCTCCTCACAGATCCTGCGTGTGTCCTCTGGTGCAGTCACTGTGTAGCCCTCAGTTCTGGAGTCTGTGAAGATCTCATGGTCATTGCCACCCTGCAAAGACACAACAGAAGCAGTAGGCTACGGTTTGTCCTGGTCCCTGGCTGCTGCAACCCTGATGTCCCTAGCTTAAGGAGGTTTCTTCAGTTAATTTTCCCTTAGTTCCCAAGAAAGGAATGTCATTTTTGTCACACTGAGCAGGGAGTTTAACCTTCTCATGAACTGAAATCGAGCTAAGAAAAGGCAATTATGCTCACGAAAGGCATCAGAAACCTTTGCGAGGATCTGGCTACGGCTTGTTTTTCTAGTGAAAAAGTACAGCAAATGACAATCACAGCCATCAGTTTGTCTTTGTGCCCAAATGTCTCCTGAAAGTCACAAGGTGGGCAGGCTGCCTAGAGTGGGACTGCTCACACCCTGTGAAATGGACATGGCTGGTCAGTCTGCCCACAGCCACATAGGAAGTATGGTCAGTAAGAGAGGGGAACTGAGTTTGATTGTGTGGTGTATATATGTATACATGCTCCTATGTGTATCCATGCATATGTAGGGCACAGGTTGCTCTCTATCTCATTTATTGAGATAGAATATTCATTGAACCTGAACCTTATTGATTTGGCTGGACCATTAGGCCAGGGAGTCCTAGGATCCACTTGCCTCTGCCTCCCAGTGCTGGGATTATAAGCATACATCACTGTGCCTGGCTTTTTATACAAGTTCTGGGGATCTGAAAAGGTCTCTCACTTGTGTGGCAAGTACATGACCATGAGCTGTCATCCTAGCTTTGGCTTTAATTATCATCACCATCATCATTTTGAGAGAGTTAGGCTACATAGCCCAGGCTGGCCTCAAATTTAAGATCCTTGGCTTTGGCCTCCTTTGGCTGGGATTACAGGCACAGGGCACCACCACTGATTTTAATGAAATTTAAATGCCCCCTCCCCAGTGACTACCTGAGAGCAGATGGGAAGAAAGAAGGCAGGGTGGGGCTACAAAGTAGGCAGCAGTCTGAGGGAGCCCTGCAGCAGGCAGAGATGGAGGGGTTGGCCCAGGGATTTCACAAGTCACAAAGAAGATGGGACTCTAAGCACAGGATCTCTCTGGACAGCGGACCACAGGCACTTGGGAGCTGCTTTTGCCATAAAGCTTCCACTTCAGACCACAGGGGACTAAACCAGGATGAAGCCTTCATATCCTGCCTCAGTCCTAACTATCTGAATGTTGGTCACCAAACTATCTCACACCTTTCAAAATTAAGTAAGAGTCACTGTCCTAACCCTGCAGTCACCTTGGATTCCAGGAGCAGCAAACTTCCCAGGCAGAACCATCCCAGAGGCTGTGCCTGAGCATTCCTCCTGAGGACCAGTTTGCCCCTACCTGACAGAACTGAACAGGCTGGGTCATACCTTCCTTACTTTTGCAGACCTTCTCCCCATCTGTCCTTTAAGCCTAAATTCACATCAGCTGCCTAGAGGTAGACTTTTGCCATAAAACTGGTTAAAAATGGGTGGGGGCAGAGGGAACAATTAGGAGGCTCTTGACAGAAGCCACTACCTTATAAGAGAAACTCCAGAATCAAAAGGCTTACACTGGCTACCTCTGCCACTGACCCACATGGTCTCCATGGTCCTGCTTTGTTGGGTCAGGGATCGGCACCTGTGAATTCTGACTGTGAGCTGTTTGAGGAACTCTATTCTTCATGTCAGGTGTGAAAAATCAAAACTAGGCCACCTTTAATCCCAGCACTTGGGGATCTTCATGAATTGGAGGCCATCCTGGTCTACAGAGTGAGACCCTGTCTCAAAAACAAAGCCCAGGATATACAGAGCATGGAACAGTGGGTATGAGGTCATCAGGAGCAGAACCAGGTCCGAGGCTGCCCCCTAGAATCAAGTGGGGCTTGGAACTAGAGAGTATACACACTGGATATGCATATGTTCCTAATTCTGCTAGGACAGGGGTCAGCCACCCCAAGCTCCCAGAATAAAAACTATCCCCAAAGAAGGAAGGATATGCCTGGGAATGGGCCACCCTATCCCCAAGGCATCTGGAAGTTAACCTGCTAATATTTAAATCCTTAAAAGGCCCATGGTCTGAGGATGGAAAGGGAGGCTGGGACTGATGAACATTGGTGACCCTCCATGTGGGGACAATGCCAATATAGTCTGCAGCCTATGAGCCTCCTTTTAGAAGAAGGGTCCAGAGCTGCTGCATGGCTAGTGTGTACCTGCTACGTGGACAGCCACACACAGCACAACTGATTCTGTGTAACTTCAGCCTACACTCTCATTGCATGGACTACATGATAAATTTCATTACCTGCTTTTAGATGAGGTGAGTGCAGAGGTGAAAGGGATTGCTTTCAAATGGAGTGGCACTGCCTGGAGGTCAGGAATGTGACAATAAAAACAGCAACAAATCCCCCCCCCCCCAAGACCAATAACAAATATGCCTGCCCACCAGGATGGGGTGGCAGTGGTGGCTCATGCCTTTAATCCCAGTACTTGGGAGGCAGAGGCAGGTGGATCTCTGAGTTTGAGGCCAGCCTGATCTACAGAGGGTTCCAGGACAGCCAGGGCTACACAGAGAAACCCTGTTTCAAAAATAAAATAAATTAACCAACCAATCCAGCAAACAAAATAAAAGGCCTGTGGCAGGCAGAACCCAGGCCTAGAGTTCTGAGGTTTTGAATGTACATTTAAAGGTTAGTCCCAGTTCTCCCAATCTAGAATTAGTATATGGGGTGCAACATGGGCTGGGCTGCAGACCCTGAAGTGAAGGTCAGGTCTGTGGATGGCTTGAAACGTGACCATCTAGCCAGTGGAGCAGGAGACACAGATTCTGTGACCCCAAGAAGTCAAGTGCATACCAGAGGTCAAAGCTGTACCTCCCTGAACCATAGCCCAGACAGTTGGGAAGGATGTTTACATCCTGAAGAACTAGCCTCAAGACCAGTAGGCCAAGCATTCTGGTGTTCAGGAAGGCAGGGAGGCAGGAAGGGGCCCAGGAAATGCCTGAAGCCAGTCTGAGATCCTCTAACCTGGTTAAAAATCCAGTTAGTTCAGGACTATGGAGAGAATGTATTCATCCAGGGTTCCCCTTGGTAAAGGACTCCCAAAAGAACTGGGTGGGAAGAGCATATTGTATGCTATCATTAGCCCTTGAGGGCATGACTCAGTCCAGGATGACAAAGGCCAAGCTGTCATCCAAAGCATGGCTGAGGACAGTAAGATGTGAGTCCAGAAGGTGCCAGTGGCTAGGTAACCCCTCTCTTGGGTTTTCTGCAGCCCTGGCCCCTCAATTTCAGTCACAGCTAACCCTTTCTGCAACATTCTTAACAAAGCTAGGGGCAGAGTTGGGCTGTGAGCAGGCTCTGCAAAAAAGATGCACTCCCTGGGGCTTGAGAGGGCTTAGCAGTTAAAAACACTGGATTTTCTTCTCAGGGACCCACGTTTGACTCCCAGCATCCATATGGTAGCTCATAGTCACCTGTGAAACCAGTTCCAGGGGACCTGACACCCTCTTATGACCTCCACAGGCAACAGACACAAGTGTTACACAGATTTAACATGCTGGACATAAGAATGAACCTGCTGCTGTCTGTAATCAACCCCCAACCTGTTCCCCTCTCAGCATTTCACACTCCTGAAATCTGGGGAGACTCATCTGCCTTGAAAATCAGCTCAGGGTGGTCGGGGTGGGGTGGGGGGAGGATGGTGGTAAGCCAGCCAGACTGGAAATGGCCCCACCACTTGCCACAGCAGTGAGACTGGTAAGACTGTCTCTCTGAGAACCTCAATGGGCATGAAGTTCCCCTTCTAAAGGAGCCATATAAAGATGAAACAAGGCCCTGGGAGGTCTCAGGGACTGATTACCCAAAGGAGTCTAGGGTTAAAAATTTTTTTAAATATGTATTGGTGTTTTGCCTGCATATTGAATCTTTCAGACTCCTTTATATACTTATGAGCTGATATGGAGAGAGACTACTTTTCCACCATTAGCAAAAAAACCAGCACAATATTCTACTGTTCTGTTCTTTACAAAAAAAGGAAAAAAAAAAAAAAAAAAAAGAAATTCCACAGATGGTTGCATCTCAGAGGGGTTTAGCTTCCACAGTGAATGGAAGTGCCAGTCCAGTGCCCTGTCCCACATCCTGCTTGCTCACACAGACTCACAGCTACATTACTCAGAGCAGGAACCCACAGGCAAATGCATGGGTGGCTAATGTTCCTTGCTGTCAGAATGTTTGCAAATGCCTTCAACCAGAGTGCTGCCCACAAGAAGCAGCCTGTGAGGTACAGCCCTCTGGCCTGAGGAGCTGAGTGACTAGGGATTTGTCTGGTGCCCCTGGGGAGCCACTGAAATCAGGGGCGTGAGTTTATTCAGCCTGACTGAAGAACCTTTAGGGAAGGGTAGAAACTTACTTTTTCATTTTGTTCTCACAGAGTCCACCTATGTGTCACAGCAGATCCTGATGGCAGAGGCTGAGCAGCTGCAGTGGGGAAGCTACAGGGCAATTCTACCCCTTTGGGAGGGAAGTGGCTTTTCATTGACAGAGCTCAGCCAGAAACCAGCAAAACCATGGGAGAAAAGCTTCCTGGTTTGTGTGTGTTTGTGTGTGTGTGTGTGTGTGTGTGTGTGTGTGTGTGTGTGTGTGTATGTATGTATGTATGTATGTATGTGTGTGTGTGTGTGTGATAAGGAATTTGAAACAGGGTCCCACGATGTAACTCAGGTTGACTTTAAACAAGTAATCCTCCTATCTCTGCCTCTCAAATATTGGGATTATAGGAACATACCACCATATCTGGTTTTATTTAAAATAACAAAAAACTGTGAATGAAGGTATGGGACTGCAACAGTTAAACATAGCAGCAAGCCCTTTGGCTTCCAACAGCCACATTCTATTTTGCAAAGTCATAGCAAGGCTTCTGGATGGTGCTCCCATACCACATGGGTCGGGTTGGGGTTATTACCACAGAGAAATCTGTTATGGGAACATTTTGGAGGATAAAGCTGCTTTGCTTCAGACCTAGCTGGCTTGGAGCAAAGTCACAGTTGCCTTGGACTAGGACTATTACCTGGTCAGATGGCTCTGATATCTTGAAAAACTTCAGGTGTTTAAGCAGGCACAGACATTCATCTGGAGGCTGATCCCCAGCAACTCATGACGTCCAATTCAGATAACCAGTCCCCCAAAGAAGCAAACCCACACAGCTGTCCTACCTGATAAGACCTAAACAGCCAGGGCACTGTGACACTGAAACACCATCTGCCACTTGGAACGCCTTCGCAGTCTCTCTACCATCTTGCCTGCTGTGCCTGTACTGCAACATGCCTAATAAACTGCTCCTGCTCTCTCCTTGGTGAATTTACTCATGGCTCATGTATCACTAGCCTAGCATGCTGTCCTGGCCCAGCATGTAATAGTGGGCCTTAATAGATTTTTTCCCCTTCTGTAAGAAATGGGACCTAGGATGCTGGAAGTACAGCTCAGTAGAGTGCTTGTTTACCTGACATGTTCAAAACCCTGAGTGTGATCCCTAGCATTGCATAAACTGGTTGTACTGGTGGAGCCTCAGCATTTAAGATTTAGAAGCAGGAGGATCAGAAGTTCAAGGTCATCTTTAGCTACACAAGGTGTTTGAGCTCAGCTTGGGCTGGACACCTGTCTCAAAAACAATGAAAAAGCACATTAACAAATAAAAACAAATGGCACCAGCCCAGGCTCAGTGACACAGGCCTATAACTCAGCTACTTTAGAGGGTAAGGCAGGATGACTATAGTGCAAGGCCAACTTGGACTTAAGAGTGAATTCAAGGCCAGAATGGTAACTTTGGTAGAGTTCCTGCCTAGCATGTATGAGGCCTGAGTTTAATTTCCATACTGAAAAGGGGGTGAGGGACATCAAGATAATCTTTAGATCTAGAACATAACTTCATTAGCGTAATTTTAAAGAAGATTCAAGTCTGATACGACTCTTTCAAGTGTTTAGTGTCCCATGAAATCAACAAAGGGATTTAGGATAAGGGAAGGCTAAAGATTCAAAATAAATAAATAAATAAATAAACAAACAAAAATCCCAAATGGACAGTTAGCACCTTTAATCCCAGCACTTGGAAGGCAGAGCAGGAGGATCTCTGAGTTCAAGGACAGCCTGGTTTACAAAGTGAGTTCCAGGACAGTCAAGGCTACACAGAGAAAACCTGTCTCAAAAACAGCCAGAAATGGTGGCTCACCCCTGTAATCTCAGCGCTAGAAGCTGAGGCAGGTTGATTACCATGAGTTAGAAAACAGCTTTGGCCACTGGGTGAGAGAAAATAAAAAGTACAGAAACAAAAAAGATAAACTAAGGCTAGCACCTGTGCTGTCTCCTCTTGAGCTTGCCCTCACTGAAGACAGTCTATGGTACTACAATGCACGCTCATCTAAAAAGCAGGCCTATTCCCAGGACCAGCTTTAATTCTTTTGGATCTATATTCAGCAGTGTGGTTCCTAGGTCATATGAGGTTCTATTTTTAGCTTTTTTTTTTTTTTTTTTTTTTTTACAGTCGTCCATATTGGCTGCACCATCTACTGTTTTGAGGTAAAGGGTCATTCATTTCTACCTTCTTTTGTGTGTGTGTGTGTGTGTCTATTAGTAATGGCCAGTCTAGGTGGCTCTCACTATGGTCTGAATTTGCAGTCTTTCTATCTATGATTATAGATGCTGACCCCCCACATGCCCAGAAGTCCACTGTGTATCTTCCTTGGTGCAATGTGCCTTCAAACATGTTAAATCAGTTTTTTTAAAAAATTATTTTCTATGTATGGGTGATTTGACTGCAGGCATGTTTGTGTACCAGTGTGTGCCTGGTACCACAGAGGCCAGACAGAACAGGATGCTGGGAATTGAATCTGTGTCCTCTGGAAAAGCAGCCAGTGTTCTTAGGCACTAAGCCATTTTCAGCCCATTAAATCAGGTTCTTTCTTTGCTGCTGAGCTGCTGGAGTGTGTGACATATTTTGGATAGACAGATATATAGTTTGTGAGTATTCCCTCACAATTCATAGGCTGCCTTTTTTTTTTTTTTTTTTTTTTTTTTTTTTGGTTTTGTTTTTAGAGACAGGGTCTCTATGTATCCCTGCCTGGCCTGGAACTCACTGTGTAGACCAGATTTTCCCAGAGCAAGCAGATCCACCTACCTCTACCTCCCAAGTGCTGGGTTGAAAGTGTGTGCCACCACCCCCAAGCCACAGGCTGCCTTTTCCTGTTGTGGTTTCCTTGCCATGCGGCAGCAGTGTTTTTGTCTGGTCCAGGCCTGCTTGTTTACTTAGCTACCTGTGCCCCTGCTTTCAGGTCAGCCTAAGACAGTATCCAGAGGCTGCTTCCTGTGTCTCTAGGAGTCTGCAATGTCAGGCTCACAGATAAACATCCAAACACAGTGAAGGCACCGTCCATTGTTCACAGAGGCAATACTTGTAGTGGCTGAGATAGGATTCAGTCTCCCAGTGGATGGATAAGGTAAACAGCATACCCATATGATACAGCCTTAACAAAGAAAATGATGCTTTTCTTTTCTTGCTGTGTAATATAATAGCCCTAGATGGCTGTCCTGGAACTCACAGAGATCCACCTGTCTCTGCCTCCAGAGTACTGGGAGGTGTGCGCCACCACTGCCTGGCAATAAAGGAAATTCTTATTGCTGTTTGTAAGGATGAACCTGGAGGATGTCACACTAAGTGAAATAATCCATTGTCACCAGGGACCCTACTGGAGGTAGACCTCTGACAGGACAGATCTTGACAGAGCAGCTATCAAAGAGACCAGAGCTCCATAGCTACAGCATTTATGATACCTAATGGGTTCAGAATGACCCTCACCTGAACCAGTATCCCTACAACAGGTGATATGCGTAGCACAGGTGGGAAGCATATGGGCATAATGAGAGATGCAAGCCCAAGCATAGGCAATGAGTAGCTGGTACTGAGGCTGCTCTTAGGACTTGGTGGGTGGCAGTACGCACCAGTCCAGGAAGAGCCTCACATTGCTGCCAAAGTGTCTCTGGGGAAATGGCTTCATTGTGCCCCTCTCCGGCACTAGCCTCTTCCTGTGTGACACCTTAGGCATATCTTCACTCCAATTATCCCTGACTAATTCTGAGTATCAGACTCAGGTAATTTCCCCATCTCACATTTGTTACCCTAGCATGCAATTTTACAATGAACATGGTATCTCGAGTAGAACAGGATAATAAAGCAACAATGGCAAAGGCTTTGTTTACTTTTTTTTTTTTCCTACAGAGTCTCATTGTGGCTGGACTTGAACTCACAGAGACCTACCTGCTTCGGCTTCTGGAGTGCTAGCATTGAAATACAGAGGGTTTGATGACAGGTGATCTGAGTGGTACCTGGAGTGGGTAGTACTCAATTCAAGAGGCAGAGCCTCGGAGCTCTAAGGAGAAGGAGGCTAGAAGGGCCAGCAGGTAGAGTGTAAGATAGCAAAACAGCCTGCTGTAGCTTTCCCTGTCCAAGCTCAGACTGCAGACTTTCCTACTTACCGGCATAGTCTTGTCTCCAAAGAAATAAATGGTTTTGTAACCATCATTTTCTAGGTGTTTCAGGCAATACCGCTTGTCCCATCCATCAGGAAAGACGTCAAAGCTGATTTGGCCACCTGCAGGATGGGGAGGGGTACACACCAAGGTGGTGAACTGTTAAAACAAAGCTAAGAAGTGCTGGGGGCCCAATTGTTAGAGGGCTTGCCTAGCAGGCCTGGAGCTGAGTACCACTCCAGCATGGCTTTGGTGAGAGGAGGGGGTGGGTAACACCTTTTGGAAATTAATGAAGCTTATTTATTTAGTGCTGCTGGTTTTCCCATAATTATTTCACCTGGGTCTAAGTGATCGTCTCTTTTAATGCTTCTTCAAGGAAGAAACTTAAAGTTTAAATGCAGCAGGCTTATGTAAAAACCTAGTTAGGGCTTTCCTTATCCGAGTGGGCCTGTCTGGCATTTTAACATTAGGCATGCAAATGTTATCCTAACATTCAGAAAGCTGAGACAGGATGATTATGGTGAGTTCAGAGGTCAGTCTGGGCTTCATGTGAATTCCAGGCAAGCTTGGGCTACAGAATGAAAACCTTTCAAAAAAACCTAGCTAAACCAAACCACTATTAGGGGAAAAGCAGGCTCTATGAGCTGATCCTGCAGGCAACAGGTTCACAAAAGATAGCTTATAGGTAGGTACCTCCTAAAGTTATTCATTCATTTATATGGGTGTTTTGCCTGCATGCATGTCTGGGTATCACATGCATGCTTCGTTCCTGAGGAAGCTTTGTCAGAAGCCCTGGGACTGGAGTTACAGATCATTGTGAGCTGTCACATTGATGCTATGAATTGATCTCGTTTCTTCTGGAAGAGCGGCCATTGCTCTTAACTGCTGAGCTAGCTCTCTAGCCAATATGTGGGTACTTTTCATAGCAGCAAAAAAAAAAAAAAAAAAAAAAAAAAAAAAAACAAACAAACCAACCAACCAAACAAAAACTCCAAAACATTTTCAGAGCTATTAGAAAGGCATTCATTCACTTAACAGTTCAGAAATGGTTCAGAAATAATTTAAAATATGTCTGCTTGTGTCTGACACATGGTTCCTTTGCAAGGCCAATTTCCCTACAACCTGTGCAAAGCTGGAGGACTTTAAGTCAAGACTGGTAGTGTTGCCAGGAGGAATGAACATGTTTGGAGCATTTAATGGGTAAGGATACATGAGTCAGCTCAGTGGGTAAAGGTGATTGCTGCTACGTCTGCCAATCTGAACTCAATTCCCTGGGACTGACGAAGTAGAAGGAGAGAACCAACTCCTCAACAGCTGTCCTCTGACCTGCACACATGTGCTGTGACCTGTGTGCCCCAATAAACCAAACGTATAATAAAACTTAATAGGTACATGCTACCAACTTCAGGCAGAACTCTGTACCAGACACTACTGGCTCAGTGGCAGTCAGCACAGGCTTTGTGAGTTTCAACAACTCTCTGTTGCTTTCTGAGCCTGATCCTTGCTCTGTACAAGACACCCACTAATTTCTGTGGTTCCACGATGGTGACACTCTGCACGATTTCAAGATATCTTAGTCTCCTTCATCTGAGAGGCTCACAATCCACTTTCCTAGAGTTTAGCAAGGCTTCTCTTCCATTCAAAGATGTGAAACTTTTACTGTTCACACAGTGAGTCACAGCTCTTCTGTGTAAGAGAGAAGAGTAGGCAGGAAAAGTCCTGTTGGGTGCAGAGGTAGAACCAGAACCAACAGCATGGAACCACTTCCTGGTTTGGGGGGTGTCCTGCTGTGGCTGCCTGTCTACTGTCTATAGGCTTTGTGTGTAACTGTGGCAGAAGAGTAGAATGTTGAAAATCTACATCAGGATTAACATGTTTGCTGGGCAATTGTGGCACACACTTTTAACCCCAGTACTGGAGAGGTAGGCAGATCTCTGAATTTGAGGTCAGTCTGGTCTATAGAGCAAGTTCAAGACAGACAGCTACACAGAGAAACCCTGTCTGGGGTGGATAGAGGAGCATGTTGGGGCTGGAGAGATGGCTTAAGAGTTAAAAGCATTGGCTACTCTTGTAGAGGTTTGGGCCTCATCACCCATATGATGGTTCACATTGTCTGTAGCTCCAGTTCCAGAGTATCCCACATCTTCTGGCCTCTTTGGATACTGCTCATACATACATATAGGCAAAACATTCACACATATAAATAAAATCTTGAGAGGGATGGATGGAGGGAGGGAAGAAGTGAGGGAGACAGACAGACAGATTAACAAGTAAAAGAAGCCAGTTTGCAGAGGAAGACTGGAAGCTCTTTCTTACACTGCACAATCTTACAGAGCATAATCAAACTAAAGTCCACAGTATACAAAAAGAGGGAGGGGGGCTATAAAAGACCATCCACTGCCTGGATGGATGCTTTTGGGGCCCCACCAGCCACTTCCACTCTTGGAGGGTTCTTTGCCCTTTCTTAGTAACCTATTTCTACTACATCTAATTTAGAAAGCACAACTTTCCCTCCATCACTCCTCCTGGTGGCCACTGGGATTTTCAACTGACTTACACTGTTTTTCTCTTAAACTAATATAGTTATCCTCAGGATCTGTTTCTAAGTTGTTTTGTTGTTATTTGTTTTTGTTTTTTGGCTTTCTGAGGCAGGGTTTCTCCACGTAGCTTTAGAGGCTGTCCTGGAACTCACTCTATACACTAGGCTCACTTCAAATTCACAGAGATCTGCTTGCCTCTGCCTCCAGAGTGCTGGGATTAAAGGTGATGTGGCACCACCACTTGCCTCTAGGTTCTTTTCTTTTTTAAAGATTTATTTATTTATTATGTATACAGTGTTCTGTCTGCGTGTATGCCTGCACACCAGAAGAGCGCATCAGATATGGTTATAGATGGTTGTGAGCCACCATGTGGGTGCTGGGAATTGAAGCCAGGATCTCTGGAAGAGCAGTCAGTGCTCTTAACCTCTGAGCCACCTCTCCAGCCCTCTAGGTTCTTTTCTTACTGAGACTAAGAACTTTATAAGGGAACCATGGTTTCCTCAATAACAACTGCCCTACCCAACACAGCACATTCGGCCCACCACATGCTCTAGGAACAGAGGAACCAAAGCCTGGGTATGCACTATACCTATGGAGAATGTGAGGCCTTTCCCTGCAAACTCCTTCTTCAGGTCTGCCACGAATTTTTGTCGTATATTTTCTTTCTGAGAGAAACAAAAAGATACAATTGTGCATTGCATCACAGAGTAGAACTTTTAGTTGTTGCCCAAGTATGTCGGAGAACTCACTTTATCAAGTTCATAGAACTCAATTCGTTCTTCTTGGCTGCAGCTTCTTCCAATAGGGGACACATTCAACATGCCATTTCGGAATTCGATGAAAGTTCCCCTGGGGGAAAAAAAAGCCCCAAAATATAAAATACCTTATTTACTTGGGCAATATTATGTTCTAGACAGCAGGAGTATGCAACCCAGGTTTCTCATGGAAGCTTTGAGCCACATACTATATTAGATTCAAAATGTGGCTAATCCATATTGAACTGGATAGAGACTTAGCATAGAAAAGGAATGGAAGCATCATTCATAGCTCTTTTCTTTATGTGTGTGTAGGTATGTGTGCACGTAAATGTGTGTGAATGCCTAAGTAGTAGCCAGAGGTGTCTTTATTGACTCAACCTTATGTATTTATTTATTTATTTATTTTTGAGACAGGGTCTCTTACTGAGTCTGAAGCTCACCAATTCAGCTGCAATGTCTGATCATCAAGCCCAGGAATCTACCCATTTCTACCTCCTTAGCACTGGGACTGTAAGCATGTACTACTGGGAAGTTTGCTGGGGAGCAAACTCAGGTACTCAGGCTTAAGCAGAGAGAACTCTACTGGCTGACCTATCTTCCCAGCCCTATTTCTTTTTTGAACCAAGTAAACAGAGATGTTGCAAGGAAACAAAACTAAAAGGTAGGAATATCCCATACCCCACTTTTTGAGACAGGGACTTACATAGTTCAGGCTGTCCTTGAACTCACCATGTAGCTGATACATGACTTAGAACATCTGGTCCTCCTGCCTCCATCTCACAAGTTTTAGGATTGCAGGCTTGAGGTGCTATGTTTCACTAGTCATATTTTACATAGACTATTGATAAAATGATGTTTTGGATATACTGCATTAAATGGGGTATGTTATTAAGACAATTACCCTGTAGCTCTTTTTTTTTTTTTTTTTTTTTTTTTTTAACTGCAACTGATTAGGAACATCTCATAGCAATAAAGGGCCGGGAACAGATCCCAGCATAAGGGCACTTGCTCCTGCAGAAGTCTCACATCTATTTGTGAGGCATCTTTTACTAGTCAGTTCTTGAACAGATTGATGTCATTAAAGGAGGACACAGGTTCTGAGACTGTGGTTCATGGGGACTCACTAATGACTCAGAAAACTATTCAGAGGCAGACTGCTCACTCAGGCTTAATGTGATCACAGAAAATGAAGCAGACCAGTGATTCCAGCAAAGATGGATTAAAAACCTTAAACCATGATTTTAGTTTTACACTCAGAATATGTATTTAAAGTTTTGTTTTGCTTTTTGAAATAGTGTTTCTCTGTGTAACAGTGTCCTGGCTGTCCTGGAACTCACTCTGTAGACTGAGCTGGTCTCAACTCACAGAGATCCACCTGCCTCTGCCTCCCGAGTGCTGGGATTAAAGGTCAGCACCACCATGCCCAGCTTAAAAACATTTTTTAAAATAAATTTTGTGAGGGGCAGGTTAGATAGGTATGTGTGTATGTCAGAGGACAACTTGTGGGAGTCATGTCTCTTTTTCTTTCCACTATATAGGTTCAGGGCATGGGGTACTCTGCTCTATTACTCTGCTTTAGTTCCTTGAGACAAAAGTCTCCCCATGAGCCTGGCCAGATGGTGGGGCAGCAGTCCCAGTGGTCCTGTCTGTCCCCCACAGTGCTCAGATTATAGGTGTACATGTGACCACAGTTAACTTCTTACTGGGGATGTGAACTCGGATCTTCATGTTTACGCAGCAAGCACTCTTCCTCACTGAGCCTACAACCCTCTAACCCCTGTAGTGTGGATTTTCTTCAAGCACTGCAGGACAAACACACTTGGTTTTGTATGACAACTAACTTGGAGGTCCCCTTACACTTTCAGATTGTGGACTTCTGATGCTTTGCAAGATTATGTGTGCTCCTGTGTGTGTGCGCACATGTGTCCTATGTATATTTGTAATATATGTGTGCACATTGTATACTGTTAGTGGTTGACACTGTTGTTATCACTGTTCTTCAGCTTATCTTCTGAAACAGTCTTTCCTTGAATCCAGACTTCATTTCCTGACTAGACTCCCAGGATACTCTGTCTCCACTTTCTCATGGCTAAGAGTTTCAGACTCCATGACCATCCTCAGTTTTTATGAGAGTGCTAGGGATATGAACTTTGGCCCTCATGATGGTGTGACAGGTACTTTAGCTATAGCAATCTCCTGAGACCCCCCCCCCTTTTTTTGAGATAAGGTCTCACTCTGTAGCCCAGATGGATGAGGAACTCACTATGAAGTCTAAAACAACATAGCAATTCTCCTGCCTCCGCTTCCTATATATTGGCTAACAGCTGTGACTCATCACACCTGCCCCTACCTCATTTTGTTGAAAACAGGGTCTGTGTAGTTCTAGCTGTTCTGAAACACACCTGCCTCTGCCCGAATGCTGGGGTTAAAGGCATGTGCCGCTATACCTGGCCTGTCTCTCCAAAAACCTTTTTTGAAAAGAATCTAGTTATAACTTCCAGGTTGACCCTGAACTTGTGATCCTCCCTCTAGTACTGGGGTTACAGACAAATGCTATTTTATAGGATTTTCTCTCATGTCAGTCCTGAGCCTACACAGGTTTCAGAGTTTGTATAACACTCCATCACAGGGATAGCCATTTTTTACAACCATTTTCATGTGGTTGGCTATATAGCCTATTTCCAAGTAGTTGTACTAAGTGCTGGCTGTAAGCATGAATCCCCCCAAAGAGTCCACAGCTCCATATTTTAGAAGCACCTCCTTTGTTCAGAGTGAACCCACCTTTTCTTAGGAAGTTTAATTTTTGCAATGTAGCTCAGACAGTAGTTGATCAGGTCTTGGATCACTGCCTCCCCCAAATGACCTTGAATACTCTATGTAAACAAAGCATAAGTTCTTTGATATAATAGAAAGTACTTTCAAAACATGGCAAACCCAGATCTTCCAACAATACTGCTAGAAGCCCCAGGCTGACCCAGCAGGGACAGTGACGGATTCTGCTGTCCTTCCGCCTCTTTCTCCTTTCTGTTGGTGGAAAACAACAGGCAAATCACCAACACCTAAGTCAGAGGCTTCATTACTCAGGGATTCACGCTCACCTCCTCTCACACTTCCCAGAATGGCCAGACAGCTTACCACAATTACTCTTAGTATTAACTATAGCTTCTCTTCCACGGCCCCTGGGTAAATGGCCTGCTCTAGCTTTGCAATAGAAACATTGGACTCAAGCAGTTTTAAAAGGCTATTATAAAGACACAGTCACTATCTGGAACAAGCAACAGCTGTGTGGGGCAAAATTCAAACTTAACAAAGAACACAGTGTGAAGATTCATTCTCCCCTCCCCGAGCTCCCGTGCCCGGAGACATTCAATCATTATCACATGTAATGTATTGTTTTGTGCCCCCCTTTTCTTTACTGTTTTTATAAATTTTGAGGCAGTGTCTCATTAAGCTGCCCAAATTGGTCTTGAATTTACTTGGTAGCCTAGGCAACCCCTGAATTTTTGACCTTCCAGCCCCAGCCTTGCTGGCTTACATATGGCATATCAGTAGTAAAACAAAACAGGCTGTATTCTTAAGAACTTACCTGCTTACACAAAAACTTCCCATCTTTGTATGCCACCAAGCCATTCTCTGGAAACACATAATCGTATTTCTCAACCACTACAACCAAAACAAGATAAAAGTGAGGATGCATTAAACAGAAACCAGCCTTTTTTCTTTCTTCCTCAGCACTTACCCCCAAAGACCCCAGTAAGAACCCAAGAGCTGTGCCAGCCCTTCCAATCAAGAGGCCGGGGACTTAGACAGCAGCTTTGATAATAAGTCTAAGGGATGACAAGTGAGCTGTAAACAGACCCTGCCTCCAGCCTGCCAGTGTGCAAGTAAGATGCTGGCCCATCCCTGCTCCCAATTCTGTAGTGAACCAGCAGGAAAAAAGGGACAAAGAGGATCGCCACACTCTGCTCTCAGGCTTTCCAGATCAGGTTTGCTAGGCTGAAGTTGTGTGTATGTATGTGTTTGGGCATGTACATGCCATGGTGTGTATGTAGGTCAGAAGACAATTTGTGAGATTGCTTCTCACCTTCTATGTGGGTTCAGTACTAGACTTGGGTTGACAAGTGACTCCAGTGAATAATCTCCCCAACCCCAAAATGATTTTTTTAATAAAAAATTTAAAAAATATGATTCTTACACTCATTTAGACTTAAAGAGTAGCATATAACCTACAAAAGGTCTGCCTGCCTCTGCTTTCAAAGTACTGGGACTGAAGGCATATGTTCCTATGTCCACCTCTTCGTTTCTGAGACAGGACCACATAGCCCAGGCTGGCCTTGAACTCATTATATAGTCCAGCATGACCCCAAATTAAATCACAGCAAGTCTCCTCAGTGCTTAGAGTACAGGTATGTCCACCACACCTGCTGATGCTGATGCAAGGTAAGCTCTTAGCTGCCTTCTAGTATTAGTGACTAGTCTCTCAAACACCTAGCTCTGCCACAGTGATACAAAACCACTCAGACCATGCTGTAAATACACTCTGGAGGCAGGAATGGTGATCACCCATGTGATAGGATTTCCTGGGCTAAATGTTGCTGATAGCATTTCTAAAGAGAACACCTCTGAGGATGATGAAATGGGTCATGTCCTATAGACTGCAGAGCTATCCCCAGTATCTGATCTGAACTTGCACATTCAGATAAGACATGCTAAGTTCCCATCCATGGGAACATGATCCCCAGGACACACCAGGCAATGTCTGGAGACAGCCTGTCAAAACTGTGTGCAGGCGCCTGTGTGCGTGCACTCTACTGGCATCTAGTGGGAAGAGGCCAGAGATGGTACTAGGCATCTTACCGTCAACTCTCCTGCCCAGTATGTCCTTAGTACTAACATGACTCTGGGACAAGTGTGTTTTTGTCTATTTTAAATTTATGTTGAGTTAAAAAAAAAAGCCGGACAATGGTGGTGCACACCTGTAATCCCAGCACTTAGGAGGCAGAGAAAGGTGAATCTCTGTGAGTTTGAGGCCAGCCTGCTCTATAGAGTTTCAGGACAGCAAGGATGACATAGAAAAACCCTGTCTCAATAAACAAACAAACAAAAAATTATTTGATATGTATGAGCATGTGTACCTAATGGGACTGGATTTAAAGACAATAGTGACCTGCCATGTAGGTCCTGGGAACTGAACCCTCTGTAAAAGCAGCAAGTGCTTTAAACAACTAAGCCATCTCTCCAACCCCACCTGACATCAAACTTGAGACTCCCATCTCAGCCTCCCAAGTGCCTGGCTCATAGGGGAGCATTCCACACTACAACAGATAGTGAAGAACTATTGGTTCACCAATCTCTTTGCTCACTACTTCTCACAGGCCAGCTACCTCAGAAGCCCTGGGAAAACAGAGAGGAATAACACATAGTCTGTAAGGTAACAAAGACTTGAGTTTACATCAGAGTGTGCTCCATCAGCAGGGTTGGGATACTTGCCTAAAATATATGTTCAGGTCTTAGAGGCCTGCTGTTCCATCATCTCCAGAAAAGAAGCCAGAAGACACTCCAGCTAGGTGTGATGATTGATGCTGTCACTTCAGCATTTAGGAGGCAGAGACAGGAGGACAAGGTGTAGCCTGGGCTACAGAGTGAGAACCTATCACAAAGGATCTCTATCTTCCTAGTCCTGTGCTGGAGACCCTGGTGACATGGGGATCCCTGGAACACACTCCATCAGGGCTACAGGGACAAGGTATATAAAAATCTGAGTAGACAGCACAGTCAGGAGGTGGGGCCTGGGCTGAAGTGAGAGAGCAGGAAGGGACATGTAAATACTAGGGAGAGAAAAGGTTCCACAAGTGAAGACATAGACATGCATGACATTCAAGGTGAGTGCCTACACCTGAGTGTAGGGTTCTGTCAAAGGATTAAAGCAAAGGCCAATTAAGGGCAGAGAAAATGTTTTCCCAGAGAAGGTGAATGATGGTGGTTTGGGACTGCAGGGGACACTTGGCAGCAAGTCTCAGTACCCTCATGAGATGTCACTCTTGCACTAAAGTGTAATTAGCACTTACCATCATTTCCCAGTTGTTCTTGTACTTTCTCAAAATCTGACCCACCTACCACTCCAATTTTGGTCTTCTGCCTCAATTTTTGTAGAAAGTCATCCATTTCTTTTGTAATTTTCTGTGTCAGGAAGGAAAACAGGATGATTCTGAGTGACAATAATCAGATGGAAGCTTCGAACTAATTTAGTTTCCATTTTTACACAATGCTGTTACTAGATGTGTAGGAAAATTACTACTTAGTTATATTTATTCATACCTGTCTATTCACACATGTATGGTTATGGTGTTAGTCTTTGTCCTGTGCAATGACTTGCTTTTTTTATTTTACGTTGTGGTAACCTTTTATGATAACACATACATCCAGCTTATTCTATTTTGTTTTTTTGAAAAAATATCTACACAGTGCCTGAGGAGGGCAGAGATCACCTGGAATTGGAGTTATAGATTGCTGTGAGTCACTATGTAGATGCTGGGTCCTCTCGAAGAGCAGCCAGTGCTTGTAACCATGACACCATCTCTCCTGCCCAATCTTTTGTTGTTTAAAGGTGTTTTATATTACATACATATGATTTAATATGTCAGAAGTGGGTATAGTAGTGTCACAAGCCTGTAATACCAACACTTGGGAAATGAAGGCAGGAGAATCAGAAATTGAAGGCCAGCTTTGGCTACATAGTTGGATTTCCTAAGACTATCTTTTAACAGACAAACAAAAACAAAATACAAAGGGGTGAAGGGACATGATGACTGTGGTTTAGAAAGTTACTAAGCAAGAGGAAATGCAAAGTCATTATGATTAAATGTCAGCTGCTTTTAACCTAAGTAACAGGGATATGGGTTCTCTGTTCACTATTTTTTGTCAATGACCTTTCAATGTGAGATTGTTTTTTTTTTTTTTTTTAGGATGCCAGCGTTGGAAAATGATTCATGGAAGCCCATGTCCTTTTCTTTTTTGAAATCTTTTCCTAAGACTTACTGTTTAGGCATGGAATGACATTTGATTTGGAAAAAAGCACCCAGGCCAACAAACTTCTATACAAACAGGGAAATGTGCAGACCTCTGGAGTCAATGCTAACTAGACTGAATCCATGCAGGTCATATCAAGTAACAACAACTGTAATAGATAGCCTGTTCTTCCTCTTCCAGACTGCACTGTGATTAGTGATGTCTAAGAATACACATGGATAGATAGAAGTAGGAAGGGCTGATGCTAAATAGATCTGCTGCTAAAATATTTTAATTATAGTATCCAGCATATAGGAAAATTTTCTTTCAAATTACAGTTTTCTTCTACTGTTACAATTGCTTATGATCACTGCAAACATATTGTTCCAAATGTCTGCAAGGGAATACATTCTGGATCACCTGGCTTCTTTGCTAAATTTCATGCTTATCTCTCTTAATTTACCTGGGAAACAGAAGCACTTTCCCAGCATATCTAGTACCCGGAGTGACCTCCACCCTAGCAAAGTGAAAGGAAATGACAAACTGGACAACTAACAGTGCTCTGAGGCCCAGGGTCTTTAACCACAGGTGCTATGAGAAGCTGAGGCAATCAGGGCTTCACTGGTTTCAGTTTCCTTACATTTGAATGGTAGTAGCTAGGTGGTGGGGGCATGCACCTTTAATCCTAGCAGAGGCAGGTGGATCTCTGTGAGTTCAAGGTCAGCCTGGTTCATTCCAGAACAGTCAGAGCTACACAGAGAAACCATGTCTGGGGGGTGTGATGGGGGATAGTAGTAATGATATCCTGCCTAGGATGAAAGATGCAAGTTCAACACCATACAGAGGCTTAGAAATGTAGACTCCTGACCACTGTGGCTCCTGGGCCAAACTGAACAACAGTTTGTTTCTATAGTAACTTTATTTTTATTATGTATGTATACACATGTACATGTGCCACAATGTACAAGGTGAGGTTAGAAGACAACTTGTAGGAGTTGGTTCTCTCCCTTCCACCTCGTGGGTTCCAGGGATTGAACTCAGGTCCCAAGGCTTAGGATTAAATGAATCTACCCACTGAGCCATCTAAGTGGCTTCTGTAATAAATTTATTAGAACATAGCTACTCAGTTTACATATGGTCTATGGCTGTTTTTTGCACTAGTTGAGTAGTTACTCCAGGCCATATGTTCTACAAAGACAAAAATACTTAATCTATGGCCCTTTACAAAATATGAATTCCACTTCCAGTTCTAGACTACTATTGGCTCTTGTTTTGAGACAAGTTCCCCAGGTTTGCCTCAAACTCACTATATAGCCCAGGCTCTGAACCTTCAAATCCTCCTGCAGGATTAAACCCTATGCCACCTGCCCACCTTACTATTGATTTAACCCACCCGTGTGTATTGAGCAATGAAGCTGAGTAAGAAAGGGTTCTGGAGAACTTGTGTTTGAATGTCATCACTAGATAGACCAAATTGTGGCTCAGAATGTGGTAGAGAAGGGGTTGGGTGATGGGAGCGGCTCCCCTTTGAGGCTTGCTCTGGCACGGAACTGTCACGAATTTCTGTTACCCTCATCGACACCCCATACACCAGGCAATACACCCGTTTAAAGTGAGTGGGGGACCCCGAGAAAGTGATTTGCTAGACGACACAGCCAAAGGGCTGGGAAGGTGGCACAGCAGATCAGAGGGGTCCAAGCTGGAGTTACAATCCAGGTCACTAGTCCCCAGGGACCCAAAAGAAATTCAGACCCGAACTTTTCCGACTGCGAACTCTTTCCTGTTCGGAAGAGGTCGTTTTTGGCCCCGTCTTCCTGCGCACCCGCTCAGGACCCGCGTCTCCTGGTCCCGGGGCGGTCATCACCGTGGTCTGGGCTCTGCACGGGCTCCGCTCGGGCTCCGCTCCACGGCCGCGAGCCTCCCGGGCGCCGCCTACCTGCCGCGGGGCAGTCAAGGTCCCATCCACATCGAAGAGACAGAGCGCGGCCATTACTCCAGTCAGAAGACGTGTTGGCACCCGGAACTCCACCCGGAACTTCCGGGTCCACTCCGAGCTCCGTGGCCCAAGGCACGATGGGAAAAGGAGGATTCCCTAATGACTTGCGGAATACTCACCGCAGACACATAATTTGAACTACAATCCCCGAGAAGCAACACTTTGTTTTAGTTTGCGCATGCGGGTCTTTTTTTTTTTTAACCGCCTGCGCATGCGCCCTTCAAGTTTCCGGGACAAGTCGCTTTACTTTTCATAGCAGGAGACCTGACCATGGTAGGCAGGGCAGGTCGTGGGCGGTGGAAGAGGGTGAAAGAGGGAACCCTGGTCCGGCCTAGGACTGGCAGGAAGGATGCCTGGGCCGCCGACTCGGAAAATGTATTATGATCTGTTATCTCCCAGCCTCCTTTCCCCTTGGGTCACGTGGGTGGTCAGAGTCGCTACGACTCCCAGAGCGCGCATCAAGTCCAGGGCCTAAGACTCATGTCTCGCCCAGCATATTCTGACGCTTTCTTTGGAAAGGTGCACAAGGATGCACAGCTAGTGTCTGTGAAAGCCGGGATCAGAGCCTTCCTCTTATTCTAAAGCTCAGAATTTGCTCACTTGCTACTCCAGAGATCTGTTGTGCAGTGTGTTGGAGGCCTCCGTGTCGCACTTTTCTGCTGTCCCCCTTTTCCTAACCAGCTAATAGAAAGCAGTCGGAGAACTGCAAAGGTACTGTGATAAGTACCCCAAAGTTTTGATGCTTGGGTTTCCCATTTTGACACCGAGTGGTTTACCGAGTGCTTTACTCGTTGAGGAAGTGTCTCACAGACTTGTAGACCCAAGTTCGAGTCCACTGTTGGCTCGTCAGTAGGTCTCTGTTGATTGTCTGAAACCAAACCTTTCCTGTGTTTATTTGGACCTGCCTAGGCCTGAGAGACCCTGCCCCATTCATTCTATTGAGTTTCCTTACCCCTTTTGGGGGGAGGGAGGGCTTCGTTTTTATTTTTTATTTTTTTAAAATAGTCCTGTGTGTGTTCAGTGTGTATATTCTTGTGCCGTGGCAAGTGGAGGCTCAAGGACATTCTTGCATGAGTAATTTTTCTTCACTACCATGTTGGCTCCAGGAGTTCAAGTCACCTGGCTTGGTGGCAAGCACTTTTACTTGATGGGATATCTCACTGGCTGGGATTAGGGTTTTTTTTTTTTTTGTTGTTGTTGTTGTTTGTTTGTTTACTTGTAAAAACAAGAGTATGCATTCATTCAGAGTAGAATTCCACAAAAAATTAAGCCCTGATGGCTTTCCAAGGTTGGTTGGAGCTTTCCTGGGGGATGCTTTGCTTTATTCCTTATGTGGTTGAATTCTGCAAGAAACCTCTCTCTTTTCCAGTCTGTCTTCCTTCGAGCTATGCTAAGATTTCAGAGGCCAGCCGCATGGGGGAGACCTCTTCACCGACTGTGGTGCTGCACTGGGCAGGGGGATTCCAAAAGGTGGGTGGCCAGCAAGTCTCCCACCTCACAGAAGAAGCCACCAGGCACAGAGATGGAGAAATTCCATACAATATACCGATTCAGAGCCATCAGAAGATTTGGGTTTCTATCTCGGCTGAAGTTGGCGCAGACAGTTGTGACTGTGGCAGCCCTACCCCCAGGCTTGTTCTGGTACTCACAGGGCCTTGTAACACTCAATTCACTCTACATCATGTGTGGGATCTCTTGCTTCACACTGGCCATGCTGTGTTGGATGAGCTACTTCTTCAGGAGGCTGGTAGGCTTCATGTATGTGAATGAGTCAGGTACCATGCTTCGAGTGTCCCACCTGTCCTTCTGGGGGCAGCGACAGGATACATACTGTGCCGTGTCAGACATAATACCCCTGTCAGAATCCAAGGAACATGCCCAGGATCTGTTGGTACGAATCCAGCAATATAGTGGCAAGCAGACCTTCTATGTCACCCTGCGCTATGGCCGAATCCTGGACAGAGAACGTTTCTCACAAGTGTTTGGAACCCTGACCACACTCAAGTAAAGAATAGCAACTAGGCCTCCAGGTAGCCCTGGTTACACTTGGATTTTAGACACGAAGGCCAAGAACATTGATCAGACAGAATCTAATAACTAGGGGCTAGGGCTGAAACTCGGGTGGTAGACTGCTTGTCTCGTATATAGGAAGTAAAACCCTGGCTTCAATCCCTAGAACTGCATATAACTAGGCATGGTTGTGTGTGCTAATACTCAGCGCTGGAGATGGAGGCAGGTGGAGAAGTTCAAGGTTGTGTTGGGCCAAAAAAGAAGATATTAACCAATTTAGGAAAAAGCCCTTAGTGGAACATTTTACTGAATAGGGTATTCCAACAGATAGTGGCTAGAAGTTTCCATGAAGAGCCACTTCTTGACTGACTGCTATGCCAAGGTCACAGAGACAGCCCACTACTGTGAAACCAGAGGCAGGAGGATTGGCAGCAGGACACAAAGACTGTGGAATCTGGATACTTGGGTTCTGCTGGACTTCATCTTTGACCTGGGGCAGGGTGTTGAGTCTGAGCCTTGAATTGTACTCTGAGATAGAAGAGCCTTCCTCTCTCACACTGGGATGAATATGGAAATAACCAATAATGGCTAAGGATGGGCATGTAGCTTTGTTGAGAGCTCTTACCTGGCATGTATAGGTCTTAAGTTCCAACCTGAGCACCACAAAATAGGCAAGCCTAGTAAATGCCCTGTGCTGTGTAAGGTCAGCAGCCCAGGGCTTACAACATTGAGGAAGGCTGCCAGGCTGCCATGCACCCCTTGTGCTCATCAGCTAGATGGCCAGCATTGAAGCCTAGAGTGGACTTGGTTTTTGCCCCATCAGGAAGCCACTACACACCAGCTGAGGTAGGGGCACCACTCAGCTGAGAATGCTGACCACCAGGAGGTCCAGGGCTGCTTACACTGGGGAGCTTCGCAGTGTCTTCAGGACAGAGGGACTCTGTCCAAGCAACCTGCCAGCTGAAGGAGACTATGCATGCTGCTTTTCATAATGGGTAACACACATGCTTGTTAGGTGACTTGTTCCTGCATAAAGAGGAAAGCAGCCACCATCTTTGTAATTTGACAGCTCAAGATGCGTAGTTAAGTAGCTTTTTAGTAATCCCCCTCCCCTCAAGACAGGGTTCTCTGTGTAGCCCTTTCCTTGAACTTGCTCTGTAGACCAGGCTGGCTAGTAATTTCCTTTCTTGAAGAATTTTTCTTTTAAAATCACATTTATTTATTTGTGTGTATACACTGTGCTTATGTGGAGGTTGGAGGACAACTTTTCGGAGTCCTTTTCCTTGGGGATTAAGTTTGGGTTGTCAGGCTTGGCAGCAGGCACCTTTACCCACAGAATCACCTTGCTGTTCCTTTAGCCATTCTTCATTGCTTTAAAACAAACAAAGATAACAATAGACATGTGAAAGTGTGTGTGTGTGTGGAGCAGGGATGGACACACCACAAGACCTCAAGCCACACAAAGAAATACAGGCAACCCAAGATTCTGAAAGTAGGAGAAATAGTCCTCCTCAGGGAGGTTATCAATAAGAAATCGTTGGCCCTGAAAGCATACGCATGCAAGTACAGACTGAGCAGGTTATATTTAGAAGCATATGCATACAGGAGAGAGGAAAGGAAGGGGAAATGATGTAATTATATTGTAATCTCAAAAAATAAAACTTAAAAAATGTGTATATCAAATTGTAATGATTTTTTGTTTGTTTGTTTTTCGAGATAGGGTTTCTCTGTAGCTTTGGAGCCTGTCCTGGAATTTGCTCTCAGATAAGAGAGGGGTCTTATCAATTCAGCAGGTCAGTGGATATTTGGGTTGTCTCCATCCCTAGGCTGTTGTGAAAAACATTGATGTGACCACTATACAAGTGCCTGTTGGTTTTCCTGCTGTGACTTCTTTTGGGAAAATAATGGGAGGGAAGTAAAGACACAGGAAGACATGCTCCCAGTGACCTAACTTCCAGTGCGTCCCACCTAGTGTTTTGTGTATTTTTCTTACCTAAAGTACTTTTTAAAAATATTAATGTATTATATATATATGGGTTTTATTTTGTTTGTTTTGTTTTTGTCTACTTGAGAGTTAACACATCAGAAGAGAGCATCTGATCACATTATAGACAGTTGTAAGCCACCTTGTGTGTCCTGAGAATTGAACTCAGGAACCAGGGAAGAGTAGCTAGTGCTCTTAACTACTCAGCTATCTCCAGCCCCTAATTAATATATATATTTATTGGATCTCTCTGTGTTAGTACTGACTATCCTTCAGCTTGCTATATGTAGACCAGGCTGGCCTCAAACTCACAGAGGTCCTCTTGCCTTTTTCTCCTGAGTGTTGGGATTAAGTAAAGGTGTGTACCTCCACACCAGACTTGTTTAGTTTTTTTTTTTTTTCTTTCTTTATTATTTTTGAAACAGGATCTCGCTAAGTAGACCAGGCTGGCCTCCTGACCTCCACTTGCTTCTGCCTTCCAAGTGTATACACCACCATATCATACCTGCTTTTGCTTCAGTTTGTTTTGGAGACAGAGTTAAACAGTAATTGTAGGATTTGGGAAGCCTGCAGGGGCAGAAAGATCACTACAAATTTGAGATCTTGTCGCCACAGTACCAGGGCTACATAGAACCTGTCTTTAAAAAGCAACAAATTCTCCAGCTCACTCACAACTGGGGCACTGGCATTGCCTTCTCAGTGGTGCCCATCCACCTAGATGTGAGCAAGCTGCTGTCGTAGCTTTAAGTCCTGGCCACCATGCTTTCCCACTATGATGGCTGCTCCAGGGGACTTAGTGGACTCACTAGGCCATGTGTGCAGGTTGTCAGAAAGACAGTAGGAGCTTCAATATTTTGGAGCCACTTTACCAACAAAGAACCTCTAATTTTACAGTCTGAAATGTGAATAATAGATGTGGGGGAGGGGCAAGAGGGAACAGAGGCTACAGTTGCTCACTATCAACCCTGACAGTCTGAGCTTGAATTGGGGACCTGTATAGTAAGGAGAGAACTGAATGCTTTGAGTTGTCCTTTGACAACCATGTGCAGTGGCGTGCATACACCTCTCTCCCTACATAGTAAACAACAACGGGAAAATTTATGATCTTGATTTGTTTGAGGTAGGGCCTTCCTTCTGTATTTTGTAGCCCAGGCTAGCCTCAAATTTGCTGTGTACCTGAATTTGATTCTCTTGAGATGCTATAGGTATGTCCTGGTTGTACCCAGAGAGCCTCAAGTCAGCTTAGAAGTGCCAGCTTACGGGATGAGAATGTACCTCAGTTAGTAGAATGTGTGCAGCACCACATAAATTGGTTATATTGGCAGACACCTATAATCCCAGTCCTGGAAGGTAGAGGTAGAAGGATTAGGACTCGTCTTTTTAGTGAGTTTGTGGTTATCTGGTCTAAACTAGACTATGTCTCAAAACAACAAACAAACCAATAAGAATTGTCCGTCCTTGACTTCACTGTTGGCTTAGTTTTTTTGATGGTAATACTTTTCCTGTTAACTGCTATTGCCAGGTTTCCCAGGTGATTGCAGTGGGGAGTCAGCCATCATGTAGCTTGATACAAGGCTGCTAAGCCCTTTCTGTGGTGTGCTCATGAGTAGCCAGCAGAGGGCATACAAGGAACAAGTGTATCCCCCCCCCCTTTACATCCCAGCTAAAATCAGAACTCTCTCCACTAAAAACAGGGTATGGGTTAGGGATCTGTAATCCCAGCAGGGCAGTAGTTTGAATTGTTTAGAAAACAAAACAAGAGCCAGGCTTGGTGTTGTAGGCCTTTAATGCCAGGAGGCAGAGGCAGATGGGCTGCTCTGAGTTTGAGACCAAAATAGTCTAACAAGTTCCAGGCCACAGGAGGAAAAGGCTTTTAGATTTAGACTGTGGCTATATTGGTGATTTCTCCCTTTGAAAAACAATTCCAAAATAATAATTGTCTTAGTTCTTTTAGGGAGGGAGGGAGGGAGGGAGAGAGAGAGAGAAAGAGAGAGAGAGAGAGAATGTGTGTGTGTGTGTGTGTGTGTGTGTGTGTGTGTGTGTTGCTGTCAGGGACCCTATCCAGGGCCTTGTACATGATAGGGAAACACTCTACCACTTAGCCATATCCCCAACGCCTTTGGGTTATAATAAAAATAAAAAGCCAGACATGCTAGCTCATGCCTAAAATCCTAACACTAGGAAAGCTCAGGCATGAGGATTATCATAAGTGTGATGCTAATCTGGGCTACAGAATGAGACTCCGTGTGCCTTGGGAAGCTGAGGCAAGGTGATCAGGAGTTCAAAGCTATCCTCAGCTGCAAAGTTCTAGGCCAACCTGGGCTACCAGAGACTCTGTCTCAAAATATGAACCAAAAATGAGTCACCCCATCCCTTCCACACCAAATGGCAAAGACTGGATTTTCATTTCTTAAGAGTTCCAGAGCTTGGAAAGTCCAATAAGAAAGAACCGTTTATTGTCAATGATTGGTCTCTGGGCCTAGTTTTTCCAGGTTCCTGACCTCTTATCCAAAGAATTGAACAAGAGTTCACACAGAAATGCAAAAATAGCAAGGTCACTCACAGAGATCCTCCTGCCCAAGATGTCTTTATATAGATTTATAAGCATGGGCAACAAAAGAGGGAGGGAAGCCAGCTGGTGGGAACCATACTTTGTATCCCAGTGCTCAGGAGGCAGAGGCAGAGGCAGACTGATCTCTGTGAGTTTGAGGCCAGCCTGGTCTACAGAGTTGCTGATAGCCAAGGCTACACAGAGAAACTCTGTCTCGAAAAAACAACAACAGTAACAACAACAACAACAAAAAAGGAGAGAGGCCAGGTGTGGCACATACCTGTAACCCAAATACTACAAAGACTGCAAAGTCAAGGTCAGCCTGACTTATACAGCTGGGCTTGAACTGAAAGGATGAAGGAAAGAAGAGAGAAAGGGAGGGGGGTGTATTGGCAGTTTTTTTTTTTTTTTTTTTTTTTTTTTGTCAACTTGACACAAACTGGGTCATCTGGAAGAGAAAACCCTCAACTGAGAAATGCCCCCAGAAAACTGGGTGATAGGCAAGTCTGAGGGGCATTTTCCTTGATGTGGGTGGGCCCAGTGCTGTGGGTGGTGCCTCCCTGGAAAGGTGGCCCTGACAGGTATAAGAAAAATGATGTGAGACTGGAGAGTAATCCAGTAGGCAGAGTTGGTCTGTGGCCTCTGCTGCAGCTCTTGAGTTCCCTCAATGATAAACTATGACTGGGACATGTAAGCCAAATAAACACTTTCCTCAAGTTACTTTTGATCATGGTGTTTATCACAGCAATAGAACTGAACTAGAATGGAATAAGACAGACAGATAGACAGACAGACAGACAGACACAGAAACACACACACGCGCGCACACACACACACACACACACACACACACACACACACACGCGCGCGCGCGTGCGCGCGCACGCGCTCACACAGTGGGGTCAGGCTTTGCTGGGGCAGGCATTTGTTGGTTTGCTTTGGTTTTGGATTTTGGAGACAGAGCTTCTCTGTGTAGACCTGGCTGTTCTGGAACTTGTTTTGTAGACCAGACTGGCGTCACACTCATAGAGATCTGCCTGCCTCTGCCTCCTGGGTGCTGGGATTAAAGGCGTGTGGCAGCACTGCCTGGCTTAAGTGTCTTAACAATAGCTGTAAAAGATGTTGGTTGCACCTGAGCTTCTGTCAGCTAAGATTTAAAAGATTAAGTAAAGGACTATGGAGAGGGGTCTGCAGGTAAAGGTGCTTGGTGCCAAGTCTGATGACCAGAATTCAATCCCTGAGGCCTGAATAATAGAACTGATTCCCATGAATTGTCCTCTGACCTGCACACATTAAATGTGGCACATGAGCACTCACATCCATAGACACACACCAAATTAAATACGTAAAATTGTAGTTAAAAGTTTAAGTAAAAATATTTTGGTGTGGCTGGGCATGGTAGTGCACTCTAATCTCTGCACTCCTGAGACCAAGACAGGAAGACCTCATTTGATGATAGCCAGGACTACATGAGACCCTGTCTCAAAATAAAATGTAGGCAGACTTTTCTGTCTTGCCAACTGCTTCCCAAATAACCACACAAAGACTTAATTATTATAAATGTTCATCCAATAGATTAGGCTTGTTTTTTAGCTAGCTTTTATAACTTAACCCATATTTCTGTGTATGTTCTACCTTGTGGTTTGTTACCTTATCTCAGTATGGTATGTGCATCTGCTTCCTCTGCGTCTTGATCCTGACTCCCAAGACTCCACCCTTCTTTCTAGCATTCTCTCTGCCCCCCAAATCCTGCTCAGCTACTGGCTGTTTAGCTTTTTTACTAAACCAATCACAGTGACATATATTCACACAGTTTAAAGGAATATTCCACGATAAGATAATAAAATACAGAAAACAGCACTTATCTCAGGATCTGACACAGGCTGATTTTGAAGGACTGAGGGCATGTTGCTGAGTTGTCAGGTGTGTGTGCACAGTACCTGAGTGATGGCTCAGGTTTCCCTTGTGTCCCCATTAGGGTATCAAGGGTCACTTACTCTCACAGGATGATTTTTTTGAGATAGAACTTCATATAGCTCAGGCAGGCCTCAAATTTATTATGTAGTCAAGAATGATCTGAACTTTTGCTTCTTCTGCCTTCCAAGTGCTGGAATTGCAGGCATGTGGCACCATATTCCACTTGTGATC